GCGGCCACGCTCAAGGCAAATCTCCGCTAGTGGTTGGCAGGGTCCGGCCGGCGCCGCGCGGCCGAGCCATCCAGTGCACGCGCCGCGTGCTTTGGCCATCGCAGAACGAACGAGGATTTCCCCTCCTGGGGTGTACGTATCCTGAGCAGCTTACAGGAGATAACATATGAGGGTTGTTTCTGCCATAAGAAAAACTACTGAGCTGCATGCCAGAAGACGGTATAGATCCAGCAAGAAACAGACTGCACTGCAGAGTGGCCAGATGCAAAAGGAAAAAAAAAAAAAAAAAAAAAAAAGGAAAACCACAGCTGATACACAAATCGCGGAGCGAGCGAGCTGAGAGCAGAGTACGGAGCAAACGCTCAACGCGCTGCTCCCATCCGTTCCTCTTTGAGGACCGCGCTTAGCTGTGCCGGCAGCACGGCTGACACGGGCTTGCTCCGCGTCTCCCGTGGAGGCAGGGGAGAGGAAGCGCCTCTCCAAAGGGCACCCGAGTGGCATGCAACACGCTGCACTTTGCAAGCATATAGGTCACACCTGCAGTTCAGTCGCTGGTTTGAGATGTCAGCAATTTTGGCAACCATGCGCTTTCCTTTGTGTGGCACTTCAGACCGTGCAACTGTTAAGGAGGTATAGATCTGCTTGCCTTCTTCAGCACTAAGGGAGAGGAAGAGGGAGGGCACGCTCCCGAAAGAGCGCCCAAGCGCCAACGAGTAGGAGAAACGCTGTCCGGTGGATGCTCACGAACTCTCTCTTCTGGGAAAAGGACGCGGACCAGAATAGCAATGCTCTCGCAGGCCAAGAGTAACACGCAGGAAGCCAATGGGAGGGTCGCTAAAGTCAGGCCTGCGGGATTTAGTCTTAAAGAATGTAAACTGCTGTAAGGGCTCTCAGCAGGGTCTGGCTCACTACCCCTCCGCCTTTTGTCTGACTATTTATATTACACAAAAAGGGTGTAAAATGCTAACGGCCGCAGGAGGCAGGGAAGAATTTGGAGCTGGCCACATCCTGTTTTAGGCAAATCAAAACGACGGTGCCAGAGAATGTGTTTGGGAAACGTGTGCGCTGTGCCTTTCGCCCAGGACTATGCAGGGCAGAAGCTCCTTGCCTTTCCTCGCTGGCTGCTCCCGGGGCTGTTCCTGTCCCTCCGGCGCTTCGCTGCCACCAGCCCCACGGCCAAGCCGGCAGCAAAGCTAGCGGGAGTCACGGCCGCGGCAGCCGTTCAGCCTGCAACCAGAAGGCAAAATGCGCTGCCATGGGATAATCGTGCCAGAGCATGAGGTGCTGTAATTACAGGAGCCGAACTCAACGTGCAGCCTCGTTACTTTGCAAAGTGAGGGCTCCCAAGGGGGCTGCAACCGGCAGCGCGGGGAAGAGGTTCGGATGTGGAGGCTGCGGCGACGCCAGCCTTGCTCACCGATGCCTAGGGAAGCGCGGAGTTATGGGCTGGCAACTTTTCCCTCTTCTCTCCAAGGTGGGAACCGAGCGAGGGAAACGCCACCAGGAGCAGTAGCAGCAGGTCCGCATGGACTAATTGCAGGTGATGCTCCAATTCGCTGCAGCCAAAAAAACTGCACCCAAAACCTGTTGCGTTCCTCATCCCAGGCTGCGCTGTGTGCATGCAAGCAGCGGCATCTTTGCTGTATGCGCCGAGAAGGAGAAAAGACGGTGAAAGCACAACTCGCTCCGGGATGCACGGAGTCAGCGCCAGGGCCAGAAAGCTCCTCTCCACCTCCCGGCCCCACATTTCCGTTACGAGACTCTTTCTCCCATGAGAGCTCCTCAGCCCGACACCCAGGCCTTGGCCACCTCCTTATGAACGCTCCTCTCATATCCCTCCTTCCTCCATCCTTCCTCTCAACAGGCATCATCCAGCTCCTCCCGCTCTATCACAGCATCCGCAAGCTCCCCCCCCACCACCGGGACCTCCCATAACTCCGTCCTTCCCGATTTATACGCCCTGTGTGTTTTACCACTTTGTCCCATCCATCTTCCTACAACAACCACTCGCTCACCAGCCCTCCCGTAAGGGCCTCCCCGTGCACAGCCCCACTCAGTGTGGACGGCCCCAAACAGATTGTGGAGATCCTCCGCACATTCCCCCAAACTCCTTCTTTCCATACTAATCACAGTAAGTAGCGCAAACAGGCAAAAACTGAATACCCGAGCCGTTTCCGCCTGGGAGCCTCCCAGCGCAGCCTCATCGCTTGGAACCCACCTCGCTTATACAGCAAGGTCTCTGGTTCAAGGCTTCTTCACAGCCACAAACATGGTCAGCTTGTTGCTGAAAACAGCAATAAAACATCTCCCTGCAGCCGGTGCCAAATCCTGGGAGTTTCCCGTAGGTGGCAAACACCGGCTCTCCCACACTCTCATCCTAGTTACCATGTAGATAACGTAAGCGCAACACATCTCACGTCTCCTCCCTCGCTGGAATCTGCTCCTGGTTTCATCCTTCCAGGTCAGAAGCAGTGGCAACTTTTAGCAAGAGTGTTTGCTCTCTTGTCCGTAGGCGCTAGGAGCCCCGGGGAGAGAGCGGACTTCAGAAATATTAGAGCTGGAGGCAGCCTCCCTCCCTTGGGATTATCCCCTATGAGACAATCTTGAACTACTTGCAGAAACATGGAGTTGTTGGCTCAGCTGCTAACAAACCAAAGGTTGCTCCTGCCTAACTCCTGCTCTTTGGCCCGCACCATTAAAGTTTCAAATTCAAATATTCATCACTTCCACATGCCACAACTCAGACTTCAGGTGCAGCTTTTCTGCTTGCTTGTCTCTACGCACTGTTTTAACTGGCTCTCCCCAGCATCCCTGCCTCTGACCGAACTGGCTGAAACCAATATCCGTCACACCCTTTTTGGAACGACACCCGACCGCCCTTTTGCACATCCCCAGATCTGCGCTGCCCAGAGCCCGTCAAGCAGCTTCCTGGGACGGCACGTGTGGCATCATCAGCGTTGACGGCAATCAATGAGCACCTCTTCAATAACTTGCTTACCCTGTTGGTGGCCAGGGCCTGTTTACCACCCGCCACTGATGCCTCACGATCACTGTGAAAACCCAGTGATTCATTTCCTCGTGGGCTTCCCTATGGCGTCTATGGCTGCAGATGCTTCACACCCAATTAGCTTGTACCTTCTGACTTCTCAGGTGCATGCCTGGCCTCCCCAGCTCTATAGGTACATGGTTCCTTGGTGCGCTTATACAAACAGAGGAGTGCGAAAACAAATAGAAACTGTCTTCTGCTGCCTAGCGCCTAGAATCAAATCTGACAGAGGAGAAAAGACCGTACCCGTGTCCTCACCACCTAGCACGTCAGCAACAGACTGTGGGCTGTTCTGGGGTATGGGCCCTGCAGCCAGCTTTTGTCTTAAAAACCATGAAACGCCTCGAATTTAAGCCAATGCACAAGAAGAGCTTTAAATAAATTTTAAGAAAGGAAAACATTTTCTTACATAGGCTTGTCTCTAGTTGATCTCAGAAAACAAAAAGCATGCTGCTAGCGACTCTCTAAAAAGACCAGTTTAGGCAACACGGACACCCGCTCTGTACAGCAACGCTGACCTGCTCTAGCAGTCCACATGCAATCAATCCTGCATTAACCCACACCTCCTACATTATGCAAAAAATGACGCAAGAGGATCCTGCCACAAATAGCCTTCTCTTCCGCTTCAGAGCCCTCGCTGAGCCTAGAGCAGACCAAGCTTGCGTGCTGAACAGAACAGCGTCTCTCTTGCGGGGCTGGGGGAAGCGTACATCATCATATGGGGAAAGACGCTCAGACCAGATACGCACAAAGGACCACACCAAGCAACCTCCACTGTGGCAGTTCCTAGGTTTGGTAAATACTTGCATAAACTGGCAGGGTGTCTTCCCATCTGCTAGGCCACTCGACTGTGCTACAGCTGGAGGGGATGCCAGGGGAGTTTCGCTAAGCTGCTCTCTAAGTATTTGCTCAGCAATGCACATACAGCACTAATGAGCCTCATCCTACTGTAAACTCATCCCAGAGGCGCCACAGTTTTAACAGTGCGATTGAGCGGAGGAGGGACAGCAGAGAAATCCTCTTCTGTGATCTCTCTGCAGAGGAACACACACAGAGAGAGACAGCAGCAAATCTGATCGGCATGACAAGATCTGGTTCCCAGTTGTGCAATGGCTGATGCCAGCTAGGATGTGGAGCGAAATGCTGGAAGAAGAAACATTCTGCAAATGAAAAATCAAGGACATTTGGCACAAAAATGAGGATAAAAACAAATACAATGTCTATTAACAAGAGTCAGATACCCTTTTCACGTACTTCTGTTGCAGGGATGAATGACGGCTCACGTTTTATAAAAGAGGCAAAGCAAGAAACACCAAGTTTAGTCATTTAAACAAAACAAGCAAACACATAACCCCCATAGGCCATTACTGCGATGGAAGAAAAGCAGCAGCCTGATATAAAGCAGCAAAAAAAATCTGAATGGCACTTGAAGAGGTATGGTGCCTGTGCCTCACTTCGCAGAGCTCGAGAACTGCTTTGCCCTGAACCTGCAACGTGCTTGGCAGCGCTGAACCCATGAACTAACACCCAGAAAAAACCTCATGGTTTAGAAAAGGGAGCGCAAATACTAACAGCAAGAATCCTAATAGCACTGGCAGGTGCCCCGAAGAGGCTCAGTGAATAGTTTCTCCTGATAAGAAATGCTTTGGTCCTGTTGCTTCTGCTACACACATGCACATGTCAGAGGACCGGAGAAGCACAAATGCAGGCAGGCAAACACCCAAGCTGCTCAATCTCCTCACACAGCAGTGTTAAATGAGGAACTAGCTAGGGCTCAACCGGTACAGCGTGACTGCAACCAAGGTTGCTACCCACAAGAGCGGAGGTGACCATGGGGCTGGCTCCTCACGTGGCCGGGAGCAAGAGCATCCAGGCGATTTGATTTCAACATCTGCCCATCCTGAACAGCAACTCGTGAAAAGAGAAACAATCTTGGTGAGTTTGTGTCACGTACCTTATGCGAGTAATGTTGATCCACAATTCTGGCTAGCCCAAAATCACCAATCTTCAACACCAGGTCCTCCGTGCTGATGAAAATATTGGCCGGCTTCAGGTCTCTGTGGAGCACGTTAGCCGAATGGATGTACTTCAGCCCTCGGAGCAGCTGGTACATGAAGAGCTTGGCATGCTCCTCGGTGAGCTTCCCCTGCTCCAGTAGCCGAGCCAGGTCTGTCTCCATGTACTCCTGAACGATGTACACCATGTTAAACTTGAAAAAGTCTCCGTGCAGGTTGGTCCCCTTCGGTCCCAGCACCTCATACACCTTCACAATGTTGTCGTGGTCCAGCCTGCGGATGATTTTGATCTCCCGGAAGGCGTGTTTCATACTCTGTGCATCACTGATGGTGATCTTCTTCACGGCAACTTTGCGGCAGCTCTTGCTGTCAAGGGCTGACAGCACCAGTCCATTCGCACCAAAGCCCAAGGGCCGGAAATTAATGAAGCGGCAGCCTAGATCGTACCCGTACATGCTGGCAATACAGTCGCACTTCTCTGCCATCGCGGGCTCAGTCCTCTTTCGGCTTTTCTTCTGTGTCACTTGAAAAACTGGGAGAGTCAAAGAACTTCCAGATCACAAATATGTTTTGAAATAAAGCAGGTCATTATTACTCACAGATGCTTGGGAGATTTCTCGCTCTGAGCCCATGATTACAAGATGAGAAGGTTCCTGACACGCAGACACACCAAAAATAGACAAGAGCACACAAACACACACACAAACACAAACAAAATGTTTTAAAATGGATAAAGGATCAAGGGGTAGAGGAGACTTTCCAAACAGCGTGGTATTCCAAATGCAGTGAAGAAATAGCTCTATCAAAACATAGAAAGGTGATTTTTCTAGTTACTTAAAGATCAGTGCTACTAAATGTTTCAGCCACTTTCTTCTTTTTCGTCTCTGAAGTCTCCAAAACAATGCCGAAACGATGGGCTTGCTCGTGCTGACAAACGTCCCGTCCCCGCAGTCTCAGTCCAAGGGCAGTCGCCCTGCGGTGCAGCCAGCGCCGAGCCCGCTGCAGCGAGGCAGAGCCCAGAGCTGTCCCATAGCCCCTTCGCTGCCCCAAGAGCCTTTCTGCCTGTGAGGCGCGGTGCGACAGCGTCACTCGGACCAGCGAAGCGCAGCCAGGGCCTGGATTTCGGCTCCTTGGAAATCAGCACGGCTTTGCAGTTCTCATCGTCCCTCCTTCTTTGCAGACGCGCTCCATTTTCCTGTTGGCAGGTATCAATCTGGACAGAAGTAAATGCTTTTCGGACTGAAACTCACTTTCTATCAGCTGTGTTCAGTGCAGTAGGCTTCCACGTTCGTCATCCCTTGCATGTCTTTTGTTAGCGAACCCAAGCGTCATTCGATCTTTAGAGCCAGTTGGAACATTTATCGTTGGAGGAGGTTCCTGCATTGTACCGTCTGGCTACCCCTCAGCAGGTTGCAACCCGTGTCCTGCAAGAAAAGAAGAGATTGGTTCATTTGATAATAACACTGAATATGTAAATGCTCTCTTCTTGAAGGTTAAACACGAGCAAAACTGTGACCTTTTGGAAATTCGTTACTTAGTTATGCCCTCCAAATGTACCCATCATTACCAACGTTTTTCAGATGGTTAATCTTTCCTTTTTGGGCTGAAATACACAGAGAACTGATAACGCTTGCTTTTCATTTTGCTGCGCTTTTTTTAATCTGTTTGAAAATTTTATGAGGTGATTTGCAGAAGGCTAAGGTTCAATAACACACTGATGTCTCCAATTGCCCACTTAGCACAAACATGTTTAACTGAACTACAAGAAAATTACATTAGCAGTACATGAGGTGTGCAATGCCTTTCCTGCTAAGCAACTGAAGGCAAAGAATGCCATAGTTTTCTTCAGTTTGCAATGAATATAATTTTGGCTTAAAAACAACAATTTCCCAGGTTTTTTTTTTTTTTTTGCTCTTTTGTATGCAAATGCAAGCGGAAAAGTGTTTCCAACCAACACGTGACTCGTATCTGTGCTCTGCACCAGCTAAGGTAGGTAAAAAAATTGCCTCAGTTGCCAAGCTGCAATAATGATCTTACATTTCTGCAGCGCCTTTCATCTGAAAGGAACCTAACACAATTTATAAGCTTTACTGATGGGGACGCGAACAGCACAAAAAAGAAGCCCTCCACCTGTCTCTGAAAGAAACCCACCTCTGGGACGCAAGCCAGGAGCTGCACCTGAATAAAGGAGCCTGACGTGGTCTTGTCAGACCTGGATTTAAAGTTCTGCACTGCCACCTCCTCCGTGCGCCCGGGCAAATCACTTAGGAAAAGGAGGCATCTCTTACGAGCGCTGCAGGCCTCGCCAAGCTTGTTTTTGGGTCAGAGAGGTCCCACAGTGAAGCTCAGCAGCAGCCTGTGGATGCCACTGGCTTCGCGCCTGCAAAGGCGGGTAGCTGCCAAGCTCTTGCATCGCGCTGACAAACCACTCGCTTTTAGTGCGGCGGTCACGAAAGAATCTCGTGAGTTTTTCAGATCAGGGTGCAAGAGGAGGCTAACGACACAGAGCTCGTTTCCCCTCCAGAAACGCTAACGGTACGCAGCACGTTCCAGGGAAAGGAGGAGAACGTCTTCATTAAGATGGACGACTCGTGTCATCCTGAGCGCGGGGATTTGCTGCTCATCAGCAGAGGCTGAGACGGCAGGTCAGGCGCTTGGCTCGGCGGAGCGCTGCTCTGCACGCAGCCCGCGCCGAGAGGGCAGGAATCCCTCTGCCTCTGCATCAGCTTTGCCGGTGATAAATACAGAGGTGGGAAAACCCGGTGCGAAAATATAAGTTGACTTCATTTGTCACTGTGTCCTTCATAAGGACGTGTTCAGCACCAAGATGCTGCGACCTGGGCTCGCTGCCGTGGTACAGCGTGTACAGCACAGCTTCCCGTTGTCTCCACAGAGCCCGCAGTGACTTCTTGGACGCGGGGCTGCAGGCAGCTAAGATCTGCTTGTGGTTTTTCAGCCTTTCGGAAGCTGGAAAACACTGACAAAGATGATAGCTGGGAATTCAGTGCAGTTCTGTAGGATTAAATGGGGATGGGGGGAGGGAGAAACGGGGCAAATAATTCCACGCCAGTCAGGTCAGCTTTGCTAAGCGAACGCACACGGCATTGCTCCCGGCTGCAGTCATCTAGGTGCGGGCTCCAGGGCCAGCAGGAAGGAGCAAAACACAGCCCTCGGCCAAGCGAAACAGGCCTCCGCGTCGCATCCGGCTTTCCCTCGCCCGCTCCCTCCCGCTCAGCTCGGCGGCCTCGGCTGGTGCAGCCGACGGGCAAGGCAAACGTTGCGGAAAGAGACGAGCTACGATGCCCCTCTCTCCAATGGAGAGAGCTCTACTCACCTCCTCTACGATGCCCCTCTCTCGCTCTAACGTGTTTTCGCCTCCAAACCCTGGCTCGCAGTGCGGCTGTGGGAAGGTCAGCCCTCTTTTTTGGCCATACGTGTAATTCCGCCAGGACACCGGGCTCTGCGGCGACCCCTCGGCGGGCTCCGAGCCTTTCAGCCCGGGGTCAGGAGAACTTAGCAGGACAGCAACTAGCTGGGGTGAACTCCGATCACCAGCAATTCCTACTCGGCCATAAGGAAGCCAAAAGACACATTTTTTTTCTAAATTGCAGTATACGAATGCATACCCAAACTCGATGCGACCTCTAGGCTCTTGGCAGGCGACTGACACTGTCTCCCATGGAGAACAGCCATGGGGTTGCTTACAACAGTAAAGGATTTGACACCCGCGAAGCGCATCCACCCACCTGCTGGATAACTCGAAACGAAGGCTGCATGCTTCAGCAGTCTGACGCTGGCCTTCTTCCCCATGATACCCAAGTCTTAAATCATTATGACAGCACCAAATGCCAATCATAAATCTGGAAAATCTATCTGCGCTTTATTCATGAATAGGTTTTTGGCAATCGCTAAGCATGGTAGGTGACAAGACACTGACGTCCTCTAAATATTTTAAGAGCTTTCAAACAAAAAGCACTTTGCATATATAAGTGCAAAATGCATTATAATTAACTCATCAAATATACTCACTAGCCAAGTGCTTGTCTTTCTAGCTAGACCGTAAATCTTCAGACATATGCCGGGCAACCTTAAGAATCAGTGTCCTTCAGAAAGATGGTGCTGCCTCTGACAGAGCTCCCCAGCAGAGCACTGCACGGCGTTACCCAGGGGTCTGCACGGCCCGTGGCAGTGAGGTGTTCCAGCAGAGTCTTCGAGGTCCTCTTCTTCGTTCTAACTCTGCTTGCCCTGATGGTCTGCACGGCCCGTGGCAGTGAGGTGTTCCAGCAGAGTCTTCGAGGTCTTCTTCTTCGTTCTAACTCTGCTTGCCCTGATGGTCTGCACGGCCCGTGGCAGTGAGGTGTTCCAGCAGAGTCTTCGAGGTCTTCTTCTTCGTTCTAACTCTGCTTGCCCTGATGGTCTGCACGGCCCGTGGCAGTGAGGTGTTCCAGCAGAGTCTTCGAGGTCCTCTTCTTCGTTCTAACTCTGCTTGCCCTGATGTCCATGGAAATGTTACTACCGGCTATTCTGAGAATCGCAACCCATGCTTTGGGTCCTCTCCCTGCCCTGCTTGCCACGCTAGGGGCACCTATGGGCATGGAGGATCTGCTACGCTCTAAACTGTATTCTGCAAAGCAACAGCACACTGCAGGACCCCTCTGGCCCTCACATACCTGCAAACGTCCTGCCAAACCCTCCCCCAGAGATGCACAAAACTTGCACGAATCTCTCCTTCCAGCCTGCCCTTGCTGCTCTGTGCCAGATTGCTACCTGCTCCTAAAATCCAGGGAGAGCGGCTGTTTCCCTGCCGCATGCAGGAAGCTTTCCAGTAATTCAGCCTCATCCTCATTCCTGTGACGGCACGGGGCAGTCAGCTGCCCTCACCCCTGCCCCTGCCCAGTTCCTGGGCCAGCAACGCTCTCACCAATGTGCGGCCACAGCAGGAGACCGCGAGGCCGTCCCCCCAGAGCTAATCCTAGGCAAAGCACGGCGTCCACCCCCTCCATCCCTCGCTGCTCACCTCTTACCAGCGCAGCCACACACCAGCGGCGTCTGCGCACGTTCGACTCCCCCCCACACCGTGTCAGCTCACCTCTCTGCCGCTTGTGCCACGCACCTACTGCCCATCACGGAGAGCGTGCTGACAGCAAACGTGTACTCATGCTGTTCAGGGTATCGTCCTGAGAGCTAAGTTTAAAAGGTCTCCTTTCTAATGCTATTCAGGCTTCATAAAGTACTGTAAAAATACCCCTTGAGGTTAAGTCAGTTAGGCCATACTCCTTGTTCTACATACCACACAGAGCGATTGAGGGTCAGCCCGCTCAATTATTCTGATCATTTTCAGGTGCTATTCTCATTTCAGTTTCCGACTTGAGACCTCTGCAGCCTGGCTTTCAAGAGCACTGGATACCCACGGAGGAGAAAGTGCTCAACACCTTCAAATCCCTGCCCCTGGATGTCTCCAGTTGGCTGTTTACCATTGCATACAGACTCAAAAGCAGAAACGTGGCCAGACTTCAGGAAGAAGCGGTCACAGCTTCCAGGTCAAGAGGCCTCCCCATGTGGGGTCCTCGGGCCGGTGACGCCAGCAAGGCTGTGCCACAGGGATGCCACTAGCCCCTAGGCTCAGGGGAAGCAGTAACTTTCCCAAGGGTGGTGGACGTGGGAAGTTCGACGGTGGCCTGTTGTTGCAAAAACGTGGGACGCACTTCACTGGATGACTCTGCTCCGCAGAGCAGCGCGAAGCCAAGAAGTCCTGCTTCACTGCAAAACTCCTCCTACGTGGCTCCTGCTGCCACTTCCCAGAGACGCTGTTTGATCGTGCCCGGTTCACTCCTGCAGCAATCACAAATAACACCTTAAAGCCTGCATGAAAGGAGAATTAGTCTGTTGACACCAGCAGGGCAGGCACCACTTTTGGGACATAAGCCTAAAAGACGCATGACGTCCCAGTTAATAGATTCCCAGTTGTGCAGATGTCCCTAACGCACAGGGTGGGGGTAATTTTAGCTACATTTACAATTCCCAAGTCAAACATTTGCTCATGTTCAACCAATGGAGAGAGCTCTACTCACCTCCTATGCTTCCATCCTCAGGCAGCTTTCTAAGACCAGGAGATGAACTCCTTTCTTGGACTGCCCAACTAGCCACTAATAACCAGGCGAGCTTACCCAAACAGCTAAAGCCATATCCCACCTTCTGGAAAGCTAAAGTTAGGCAAGGCTGCAGTGTCACGATCAATTTAGGTCAGTCTCAGTGTGGCTGGCACCAAAAGAGTTGATGCCATCCTCCTGTCCCAAGCACAATCACAGACCCCGCTGACAGTGGAGTGTGACCGAAGCCGCTCAAGCTGCCCGTCAGGCCTCAAGCTGAGATGAATTTCTCCCTCCCTGTGTACTTCTGAAACTGTTTTCCAAATAATTTTTTT